GCGTGGAACTTCTCCCAAGGCAGGGTGGCGGGCGAGGCGTCCCTGACGTGTGAGGCTCCATTGTGCACACGGCCTGCCCCCAGCACCTGCCCCCCCACACCTGTCCCGTCCCACACCTGTCCTGGGATCCAGCTGCAGTGACTCTGCCAGCTTGAGGTGTGGTTGGCAGAATAATGTCCCCAGAGATGTCCACGTCCTAATCCCATGTGGTAGACAGAATGTCCCCAAAGATGTCCACGTCCTAATCCCATGTGGGAGACAGAATAATGTCCCCAAAGATGTCCACGTCCTAGTCCCATGTGGGAGACAGAATGATGTCTCCAAAGATGTCCACGTCCTAATCCCATGTGGGAGACAGAATGATGTCCCCAAAGATGTCCACGTCCTAGTCCCATGTGGTAGACAGAACAATGTCCCCAAAGATGTCCACGTCCTAATTCCCACGTAGTAGATTTCTACGACTCCTCTTAGAGATTCTCCATCCACAGCCCCCATCCCCCCGCAACACTGCCCCTGGGCTAAGAGTCCCCAGCTGTCTGCACTGCGTTCGGGATGGGTCCCGGGTCCATACTGAGCCTTTGTCCCTGTCACAGTAGTTACTGAGTAGAACCTGAACCTGTTTTACCACTTTAATGACCGTCCCTGGTTCTCCATGATGTCTCCTGGAGGTTCCCGAGGACCTGCCCTGCCACAGCTCGGTTTTACCCCAGGAGACCCCACTGGGGCTCTGGCCTCTGGAACTGTCCACCCCGTGTGGTTTTAGCCACTACTCTGTGGTCACTTTGTCACAGAACCCAGTGGACACTCCCACTCACGGAGCCCTAGGTGTGCAGGACGGCAGGACAGCTCCACGGGGCCGAGAGTGTGCTGGCTCTGACGTCCCTGTCACTGAGACAATCTAGGCTGTCACCCCAGACCCCAAGGCTGAGGGCAGAGCTGAGCTGGGCGGGGGGGGTTTCTCATAGAGCCCAGAGGACAGAGGTGGGGTCTCGGGGAGCACCAAGGACAGGGCAGGGGGTTTAGGGAGTCCAGAGGGCAGGGCGGGGGTCTTGGGGACCTCAGAGGACAGGAGGGGGCGTTCTTAGGAACCTCAGAGGATAGGGTGGGAAGTCTCGAGGAGCCCAAAGGACAGGGCCGGGGGGTGTCTCGGGAACCTCACAGGACAGGGTGGGGGTGTCAGGGAGCCCAGAGAACAGGGCGGGGGATCTCGGGGACCCCGAGAACAGGGCATCAGAAGGGCACAGCCTTTCTGTGGGACTGGAACATGGGCAGCGCCCGCCCCAGCGCCTGCCTCTCTGATTCCTGCTCCACTGCCTGGCTTGTCCCCTCCCAGCTCCTGAGCCGCCGTGCCCAGGGGAGAACACGCCCCCATTACGGGACCCAGGGGGTCTGGGGAAGGGGGTCTGCCAGGTGCCCCTCCCGCCTCCTTGCAGGACGCATCAGGGGAGGCTCCGAGAGCCCGCCAGGCTGCACGGGTGAGTCGGTGCATTCAGCAAGCACTAAGCAAGCGTTTCCAAGGCATTCCTGCGGCCGCTGCGGAGGCATGAGGGTGGGCAGGTGTGTGCGGCTTCTTGCACGACCAGGGGACGGAAAGATCTTACTGACAGAGCGCATCCTTCTGAATGCGGAAGTCTCGAAACCTATCTCCAAAATCAAATGCAGGTTCCTTAATGCCCCCACGGAGCAGCTTAAAACATGACGAAACTCAAAACCTGCCTCCAGTCCTTGCATCGTTACAGCAAAAACAAACCGAAGAGGAAAGAGGCACAGTCTGATTTTTTAAAAACTCTGCCCTTAAATAAGTGCTCGAGCGTTTTCTAAAGATCCTTCCCGTACGTTACCCAGAAAGCTCCCGGAAGCACCTCGGTGGTTTACGTGGTAACAAAGTCCATAAACACGTTTGGGTTTTGTGTCTTTTAATTCTCTGAACGATTCACGTGAATAACTCCTGACACGGACTCCATGGGATCGTGATGTGAGTGGACAGGGACACAAGGCCATGATGTCCGATATATCCTTAAACACCTTCCTTCATCTCCGGCATGTCCTTCCCTAACCCTAACCCTAACCCTAACCCTGACCCTGACCCTGACCCTGACCCTAACCAGAGCTCTCCCTGGATGGCTCGACCAGCAGTCACAGGTCTGACGTAGCCGATGGGACGCGGCCCAGGCGTTTGTCTTTCCGGATTTCAGGCACCTTGCTTTAACCGCGGCCACCAGGTACCAAACTATGAGCAGATTTTGTTTTGGAAAACAGCAGATTCGCTCCCAAGCCGAGCACATTCCAACATGGGTTAGACGGTCCCTTCCAAGGCTGTCCCAAGAACCCCAACACCTGCCGTCCTGCGGCAGCACGGGAGGTACGAACACGAGACTTCTCAGGCGCCCCCCGAGGAGGGTGGGAAGGAACAGGCACGTCCGGGACCCACGGCTTGGCTAAGAACTTGAACCAGCGGCTCAGATGTGGAGCAAAGCCTGTGCAGAAGCGGGAAGCACGTCTCCCACGAGGACGCCAGCGCTGGTGTCTTGCTTGCGTCCGCGGGATTTCAGCTCACAGGGTGACTCCGGGTTGGGGAAATGCTGGCTCGTGCGAGAGGGATGCTCACAGCCACGCGGTTGTCACTGGCTTTAGGAATCCGATAGCCCTGGGGAGGAGGCGTACAGGCTCTCCCTGGGTCTGCAGGACCCCCGATGGTGCAGCATGGAGGACACAGACATGAGGAGACAGAGTCGACATCACAGGCCCTGTGGTCACCTGCATTCAGCCCAAACCGTGGCAGAACTTGCAGGACTGACTTCAACCACCGATGCCGGACTCCAGGGGGAACAGCTCAGGAACACAGCAGCTTCCGGTTGAGTCCGATGACATCACTGACGAAGCTGCCTGCGCCGATGAAGTCACCTGCGATGATGCTGGTGCACCGCGGGCCGGGCCCCGGGCACTGCTCCCGGACCCACGCGCACAGGCGCGGCAGGTTGGGCAGCGTCATGTCCCGCAGGGACCGAGACGGATGCGCCATGATGTACCCCAGGTTCTCCGTGAGGTTGATGCCCGCCACGAATAAGCCGCCTGCAACAAGGAGGCAGGAGAGGGGTCACCTGTCCCCGCCTGCACAGGGGAGGGGCCCCGCGTCCCCGCGTCCCTCTCTGGGAATGCATCGTGGCACTGGCTTTTGGGGGAGAACGGACCCTACACCCCCCATGCAACCCGCTCTGGCAGCTGGGGTAAGGCTCACAACACGCTTCCCCCGTGCGTGGGGTCTGTGTCACGGGGCAGCACAGGCCCTGTTTGTGCAAACAGAGATCACACTGGCTCAGAGGAAATGGCGTGTGTTCACTAAGCATGTGGCCAGCAACGGCGCGGAAAGCACCAGTTGGCACTGCTGGGTGAGAGCCAGGGCTCTGGGGACGCGGCCCTGGAGACCGAGAGCGTCCCCAGCACTCCACGGGTGGGCAGGACACACCTGGGTCCGGGGACTCCGTGATCCATAAAAATCCGTCTCCTTGAACCCACGGACACGACAAAGCAGAACCACCACCGACCCTCAAGACGAGAACCGCAGGAGACGTCTGCGGCACGTACCCAGAAAAGGGGCTGGTTTCCGTAAAGAAGTCGAACACACCAGCAAGGAAAAGGAGAACCCAACAGAGAACAGGCAAACAGAAAAAGGAACGCACACGACCACACGGGTCCCAGCGGGTCCCACCCACGGCCAGCGGCAAGGGACGGCCATCAGACCAGCCGCGGGGCAGAGGAGGGCGCCGGGTGGGGCTTAGTCAAATAAACCACGTCACACGTGTGAGGTGGAGGCCACGCAGCTGTCCAGCAAGGAAGCTTGAAGCTAAATTCTGACATTGAATTTGAGAGAGAGATGGAGAGACAGAGGGAGAGAGGGAACTCGCAGGCGTGGCCGGCGTGCCAAGGTGCCTGCGTGGCTCCACCCCTCTTCTGTGAGCGGCAGTAATGACAGTCCCTTATTTTACGCATTAAAAATAAAACACAGATTTCCTGGACCTCATGAGAACGTAGCCACTACCGCATCAGCCACCCTCTGCCTTCTTCCTTCTCTTCGCTGCATTTAAAACACTCAAAGTTCCAACCTCCGCTTGGAAAAAAACAGCCCCCGCTTGTCTGCGGTTTATGTTTTCCCCAAAATCTTGGCCTAATAAAGCTCCGTCGACTGAGACTTTTGCCTCAGTCATTCATTTGGGTCGACACACGTACACGCACGTTATGTACGTGTATGCGTGCATCAACACACACAAGCATCTGTGACTTTTAAATTTCTTTCACTTAAAAGTGGAGGTGAGGCCGGGCGTGGTGGCTCACGCCTGTAATCCTAGCTCTCTGGGAGGCCGAGGCGGGAGGATCGTTTGAGCTCAGGAGTTCGAGACCAGCCTGAGCAAGAGCGAAGACCCCGTCTCTACTAAAAATAGAAAGAAATTAATTGGACAACTAAAAATACATAGAAAAAAATTAGCCAGGCATGATGGCGCATGCCTATAGTCCCAGCTACTCGGGAGGCTGAGGCAGGAGGATCGCTTGAGCCCAGGAGTTTGAGGTTGCTGTGAGCTAGGCTAACGCCACGACACTCTAGCTGGGGCAACACAGTGAGACTCTGTCTCAAAAAAAAAAGTGGAGGTGAACCCGTGGCCGGGCAGCAGATACACGCACCCGGCGCCGTGGAATCTGGCCCCGTGGGAAGCCCCTTGGTACCTGGGCGGCCGCAGCTCTTCATGGACTCCAGGTAGCAGATGAGCGCCTCTGTCTTCACCTTGTTCCCCCACCAGTAGGGGATGCCCGGCCACAGCTCACGGTGCCGGCCCACGGAGCTCTCGTCCTCGTAGGAGACCAGGACCTGCTGCTCCCGCGACCAGAGCTGACGCAGCGTCGGCACCTCCTGGGAGGGACGGGGTTGGAGGTGCGGGTGAGAGGGCGCTGGGGCATGGGGCTGTCTCTACCCCAGCATCCACATCCCGAGGAGGACGCAGGGCGTGGTCCTTAAAAGTAGCCCCAGCACACACGCACCCAGTTTGAGACGACACCCCTCGATGAGCAGTGAGTGCAGCAAAGATTAACGCGTATGTTAACAAACTTGCTTTCCTCCTGTTAATCTGCCTCCTGTCAGTCTAACTTGCAGGAGCCGGGCCAAAGAACCTAGGGGCCCCTCGCTGTGGAAGCGAGGAGACATGCCGAATCGCTTCACCCAGCACCTCAGCAGTCACACCCGGGACACCTCAGTGATCCCACCGGGATACCTCAGCGATCTCGCACGGATACCCCAGTGATCTCACCCAGGATAACTCAGCGATCTCACCTGGGACACCTCAGTGATCACACACGGATACCTCAGTGATCACACGTGGATATCTCAGTGATCTCACACAGATACCTGAGTGATCTCACACGGATACCTGAGTGATCTCACACGGATATCTCAGCGAACTCACATGGATACCTCAGTGATCACATGTGGATATCTCAGCGATCTCACACAGATACCTGAGTGATCCAACCAGGACACCTCAGTGATCTCACCCAGGATACCTCAGTGATCACACACAGATACCTCAGCGATCTCACATGGATACCTCAGTGATCACACACGGATACCTCAGTGATCACACACGGATACCTCAGTGATCTCACCTAGGATAACTCAGCGATCTCACACGGATACCTCAGTGATCACACACAGATACCTCAGCGATCTCACACGGATACCTCAGTGATCACACACAGATACCTCAGCGATCTCACACGGATACCTCAGTGATCACACACGGATACCTCAGTGATCACACACAGATAACTCAGTGATCTCACACAGATACCTCAGTGATCACACGTGGATATCTCAGCGATCTCACACAGATACCTGAGTGATCCAACCAGGATACCTCAGTGATCTCACCCAGGATACCTCAGCGATCTCACATGGATACCTCAGTGATAACACACGGATACCTCAGCGATCTCACACAGATACCTCAGTGATCTCACCTAGGATAACTCAGCGATCTCACATGGATACCTCAGTAATCTCACATGGATACCTCATCGATCACACATGGATACCTCAGGGATCTCATCCAGGATAACTCAGTGATCTCAGACGAATACCTCAGCGATCTCACACGGGTACCTCAGTGATCACACACAGATACCTCAGTAATCTCACATGGATACCTCAGCGATCTCACCCAGGATAACTCAGTGCTCCCACCAGGATACCTCAACAGTCACACCCGGAACACCTCAGCAATCTCATGTGTAATACCTCAACAATCTTACCCGGAATACCTCAGTGATCTCACCCAGAACATGTCAGCGATCACACCTGGAACATCTGAGCAATCTCACCCAGAACCTCTCAGCCATCTCACCTGGATTCCGGTGGAGGCCACGCAGCTGTCCAGCAAGGAAGCTTGAAGCTAAATTCTGACATTGAATTTGAGAGAGAGATGGAGAGAGGGAACTCGCAGGCGTGGCCGGCGTGCCAAGGTGCCTGCGTGGCTCCACCCCTCTTCTGTGAGCGGCAGTAATGACAGTCCCTTATTTTACGCATTAAAAATAAAACACAGATTTCCTGGACCTCATGAGAACGTAGCCACTACCGCGTCAGCCACCCTCTGCCTTCTTCCTTCTCTTCGCTGCATTTAAAACACTCAAAGTTCCAACCTCCGCTTGGAAAAAAACAGCCCCCGCTTGTCTGCGGTTTATGTTTTCCCCAAAATCTTGGCCTAATAAAGCTCCGTCGACTGAGACTTTTGCCTCAGTCATTCATTTGGGTCGACACACGTACACGCACATGTTATGTACGTGTATGCGTGCATCAACACACACAAGCATCTGTGACTTTTAAATTTCTTTCACTTAAAAGTGGAGGTGAGGCCGGGCGTGGTGGCTCACGCCTGTAATCCTAGCTCTCTGGGAGGCCGAGGCGGGCGGATCGTTTGAGCTCAGGAGGTCGAGACCAGCCTGAGCAAGAGCAAGACCCCGTCTCTACCAAAAATAGAAAGAAATTAATTGGACAACTAAAAATACATAGAAAAAAATTAGCCAGGCGTGGTGGCGCATGCCTGTAGTCCCAGCTACTCGGGAGGCTGAGGCAGGAGGATCGCTTGAGCCCAGGAGTTTGAGGTTGCTGTGAGCTAGGCTGACGCCACGGCACTCTAGTCCAGGCAAAAGAGTGAGAGTCTGTCTCAAAAAATAATTAAAAAATAAAATAAACGGTATTTGCAAAACGTAGAGTAGTCTAAGGAGGACGGTGAGATTTCCCTGTATCCTCTCAGTCGGGGTGAACCGCTGTTTAGCTCTGGGGACTTCACGCACGAAGCCGCCAGTCGCCTGGTTTCTAACAGGCAAGGACAGTGTGTGCCTGTCCTGCTCTTGCCGAGATGCGTGAGTTACAGGATTAAAGCGACTCCCCTCTGTTCCCGACCCCGGGTCTCTGTGAACATCGTCCCCTCTCAACCCTGTCCTGGTGACGTCACCTA